TAGGCATGCACAGAATCCGAACGGTTCGAGCTTTTTCCATGACTACGTAGTCATGGAAAAAGCTCGAACCGTTCGGATTCTGTGCATGCCTACTCTCTATACATTTTGATTTTATAATGTTTTCATTCTGGTATTGACTTTCATTCTTCAGAAGTTTTATACAAAAAAAAAAAGAAATATACAAGATACTATATACGCATATATTTTAGGGGATCAAGCACGAGTCCATTACTAACATATAACTTTGGACTATGGAGAGGATGTGTATCACTCGATGGAAGAATGAATTGCGCTGATCTGCCATCAGACTGTCAAGAAGCGACAGGTAACGGTTTTCAAACGTGCAACAAAATGATGGCAGCTCGAGCATTTATAACAATTGCTTGTATTCTATCAGGATTGTCTGTTGTATGTCTTGTTATGTGTGCTGTGATAAAAACAGATTCAAATCATATTGTCTTTATGATCAGCAAAGCTCTTCCATTTGTATCTTTTGTCGCTGGCATTATTGGATTAGCTGTGGGTATTGCTTTTGTCACTGCACCGGGTGGTAGGAAAATAAGTAGTGCGGCATTCGTGGGAATTGCTGCAGTTGTTATCAATATGATTGGTGCTGCTTTAGCCTTACTGATTCGATGAACAATTTGCCTTTCTTTGAAAACTTTTGATTATTGATTGTAATTATATTTATCTTCGCAAACAACTGATAGCAATAAAATAAATACAAAAAACTCAGTTCACTTTGTCTAGTTCATCTGTGTGAATAAAATGACTTTGATAATAAAAACAAACGCCTCGTTGAAATATCAAGTATAGTTGGAGAACAATCTATGCTATTCTATGATTCTTAATATATATATATGTAACAGTACTACTATTGGTGCCAGAAGCCAAAGCGCTCGAATGCAGTTTGAATAATTCATGCACAATGCAAGATAATGACATGCGGTTTCAGCAACTGATACGCAGAATTCTGACGTTTCTTTTCTTAAGCGAAGCCTCTTTTCTAGAAAAATCCGAGATTTGATTTTCATTCGATTTCTTTGAAAATCTACGTTAAATTCTTCTAAGCTGATGCACTAACCTATTGATGCTTTACTATAGAGATATAATCTTAAGTATCCTCTATACAATTAGACGTAACTCAAAGTTCGCTTTTGCTGATATCCGAATTTTTTCTTGGTTTTTCAAAAGACCTAAAGTTTCCATATTGTTCGATCAGATACCTTCAAAAATGCACCAAAAAGTAGATTATCAATGAGACTGAGTCTTATCACTATGTCAGTTGTTTAAAAAAAGATGCAAGAGCCATATGAAATCTTCTCGGAGGTAAACAAAACAATTTATAATTATATTCGTAATAGCATAAAATTTTTATAATTCTATCAAATGGATTCAAACTGTTTCAAAAATCAAAATCTAATCCATTTCATATGCCTCGTATGCGGGTGTGGGTGTGGGTGTGGGGTGGGTGTGGGTGTGTGGGTGTGGGTGTGGGTGGGTGTTTACTTAGGTGCAGGTGTAGGCGTCAGTTACCTCTTTAGTCAAACCCACACCCACCCTACCCACACCCACCCCACCCACACCCACACCCACCCACACCCCACAAACCCACACCCACACTCCACACCCCACACCCACACGCACACCCAAACCCACACCCACACCCACACCCCGCACCCACACCCACACCCACACCCACACCCACACCCCACACCCACACCCACACCCTTTTTCTCACGATTAGTATGGGCTATGGAAAATCCAAGGTCACCGATAGATAGAGCTCGTCGAGCTGTAATTGGAACCGGGTTGGAACACGTTCCTGGACAAATATGGGAAGGTTTTAGTGATGATACGCAAAGTGAAAAGGTACTATTAGGGGATTTTCTCATGATTGGTTTGGGCTATGGAAATTCCAAGGTTACCATTAGATAGAGCTCGTCGACTTGTACTTGGAACCGGGCTGGAACACTTGGAACATGCTCCTGGACGAATATGGCAGGGTTTTACTAAGTAGGTTTGCCTTTTCCCGTAGAAGAAGGGCAGTATTTTGGATTTTCCTCACGATTGGTTTGGGCTATGGAAATTCCAAGGTGACCATCAGATAGAGCTCGTCGAGTTCTACTTGGAACCGGGTTCGAACACTTGGAACATATTACTGGACGAATATGGGAAGGTTTTAGTGACCATACACATAGAGAAAAGGTACTATTTTGGATTTTTCTCACGATTCGTTTGGGCTATGAAAAATCCAAGGTGACCATTAGATAGAGCTCGTCGAGTTCTATTTGGAACCGGGTTGAAACACTTGGAACACTTTCCTGGACGAATATGGGAAGGTTTTACTCGAATATGGAGCTAACTTCCCCTACGTAAACAACTGAAAATAAACAGAAATAGATCTCATGATAAACTTCTCATCTCCTAGTGTAACTCGTCGTCATATATATGATTTATATCATTGATGGATTAAAATATTATCAATGATCAATAGGTTTATCAACAAGTTGAATTATTTTTATTTTAGTCTTTGTTTTATTCACGTTATCAAATTGTTTTATTAGTCATTATTCTAACTTGTTTTTTTCCTGTATTTGAGTTTAGTGATAGATTGAGTTATGTAAACGATTGTTTTATTCAATGGACATACCTACACTCAATCTAAATATGATTTACATTAAATTAATTTTAAACTAATTCAAAGTTAATTTTATTGAAGGTGAAATCGATATTTAATAGATGAACAAATGTTAAATTTGTCTACAGTTGAATAATTATCTCTAAATTTGTCAACGATAATAAGACAAAGATGAATATATTCGTCACTGATAACTTTTAGAAAAAAATTCTCAAAGATATTTTCAATCTTTATTCTCCTATCTATATGTGAAGTTAGATAAGGGATTATCGAGAAATTTCATCTAAAATAAAGGATAAAAATGAGCTAAATAAAATTTTAGAGAGAAACTCTGGATGAGAAATAGCTGATGAAGATATATTTTAAAAAAAGACGTACCCATCTTCTTCAAGGCTTTCTTTGGTATGATAAAAATAAATTATTTATATTATTCTCATTTAATTATTAGTATAAAGGACCTGTGAGAATCGTTCGTGTTTTTTTTTCGATTGGATATATTATAGAATAGGTTTGGTAGAAAGAAGTAGTTGACAGTTATCTCAACGAATATTTCAGTTTTATTCGATAAATAGAAGTTGACATTTTTTGCTTTTATTTAAGAAAAAAAGGAATTCAAGTTATGGAATCGCAAAAGAGCTTGTCCGGCTAACGGTCAACCAGAGTGATTAGAGTAGAACCTAAACATTTTTAGAAGCTAATAACGTCGTATTATAGGGCACACTTTGCTGTATTAGGAAACATATTTTGTTTTTTCTTTTCTTTCAACAGGTGGAGAAACTATATGGGAAAGAGTTTTGACATATTTTTCAAAATTTTTTGCTG